GACTTCTACCAAACATTTAGAGAAGAGTTAACACCTATCCTTCTCAAACTATTCCAAAAAATTTGCAGAGAAAGCAATGCTTCTGAACGCATTCTATGAAGCCAGCATCACCCTGATACCAAAAGCAAAGATATCACAAAAAAAGAAAGAAAAGTATAGGCCAATATCACTGATGAACATAGATCCAAAGATCCTCAACCAAATACTAGCAAATCAAATCCAACAATACATTAAAAGGATTATACACCATGATCAAATGGGGTTTATCCCAGGGATGCAAGGATGGGTCAGTATCTACAAATCAATGTGTTACATCACATTAACAAATTAAAGCATAAAAATCATATAATCATCTTAATAGATGCAGAAAAAGCTTTTGACAAAATTCAACATCCATTTATGATAAAAACTCTCCACAATGGGTATAAGAATATACTTTGATATAATGCCATATATGATAAGCCCACAAATAACATCATAGTCAACAGTGAAAAGCTGAAAGCACTTCCTCTAAGATCAGAAACAAGACAAGGATGCCCACTGTCACCACTTTTATTCAACAATAGTATTGGAAGTTCTTGCCACAATAATCAGAAAAGAAAAATAAATAAAAACACCAAAATTGGAAAGGAAGAAGTAAAATTGTCACCGTTTGCAGATGGCATGATTAATGATTTTCTATATGTAGAAAATCCTACAGGTGCCACCAAAAATCTAGAACTCGTCAAATTCAGTAAAGATGCAGGATACAAAATTAAAATACAGAAATCTGCTGCATTTCTCTACACTAACAACAAACTATCAGAAAGAGAAATTAAGGAAATAATCCCATTTGTAGTCATATCAAAAGAATAAAATTCCTAGGAATAAATCTACCTCAGGAGATAAAAAACCTGTACTTGAAAAACTAAGACACTGCTGAAAGAAATTGATTGAAAACAACACAAACAGATGGAAAGATATACCGTGTTCATGGGTTGGAAGAATACTATTAAAATGATCATACTACCCAAGGCAATCTATAAGGTCAATGCAATCCCAATCAAAATATTAATGACATTTTTTTTCACAGAACTAGAACAAATAATTCTAAAATCTGTATGGAAACACAAAGACCCCAAATAGCCAAAACAATCTTGAGAAAGAAGAACAAAACTGGATGTATCACGCTCTGTGACTTCAGACTATACTACAAAACTACAGTAATCAAAATGGTATGGTACTGGCACAAAAACATTCACATTGATCAACAGAAAAGAAGAGAGAGCTCAGAAATAGACCCATACATTTACAGTCAATTAATCTATGACAAAGGAGGCAAGAATATACAGTGGGGAAAAAACAGTCTCTTCAATAAGTGGTTCTGGGAAAACTGGACAGCTATATGTAAAAGAATGAGATTAGACCACTTTCTCACACCATACAAAAATAAACTCAAAATGGATTAAAGATCTAAACATAAGATCAGAAACCATAAAGCTAGAAGGAAACACAGAACACTCTTTGATATAAATCATAGCAATGTATTTTTAAAATCTTTTGCCAAGGGCCAAGGAAATAAAAGTAAAAATAAACAAGTGGGACTTATTTAAATTTAAAAGCTTTTGCACAGCAAAAAATACCATTGACAAAACAGAAAAACAACTTACTGAATGGGAGAAAATATTTGCAAATTATATGATTGTTAAGGGGTTAATACCCAAAATTTATAAACAGCTTGTATAACTCAATACTTAAAAAAAAATACTTATTTATTTATTTGGCTGCGCCAGGTCTCAGTTGCAGCACGCGGGATCTTCATTGCCACGTGCAAGATCTTCGTTGTGGCATACGGGATCTTTCAGTTGCGGCATCCGGGATCTAGTTCCCTAGCCAGGGATCGAACCCAGGCCCCCTGCATTGGGAGCATGGAGTCTTAACCACTGGACCACTAGGGAAGTCCCATAACTCAATATTTTTTTAAAAAAACAATTAAAAAATGAGCAGAAGACCTGAATAGACATTTTTCCAAAGAAGACAAATATTGGCCAACAGGCACATGAAGAGATGCTCAACATCACTAATCATCAGATAAATTCAAATAAAAACCACGATGAGTTATCACCTCACACTTTTCAGAATGGCTAGCATCAAGAAGACCACAAATAACAAATGTTGGTGAGGAGGTGGAGAAAAGGGAACCATTGTACGCTGTTGTTGGGAAAGTAAATTAGTGCAGCCAATTGGTGGAAACAGTGTGGAGGTTCCTCAAAAAAACTGAAAATAAAACCACCATATGATCCAGCGATTCCACTCCTGGGCATATATCCAAAGAAAATGAAACACTAATTTGAGAAGATGCAAGCGCCCCAATGTTCATAGCAGCATTATTTACAATAGCCAAGATATGGAAGCAACCTAGGTGTCTATCAACAGATGAATGGATAAATAAGTGTGGTGTACATATATACAATGGAAAACTACTCAGCCATAAAAAAGAATGAAATTTTGCCATTTGCAACAGTGTGGATGGACCTGGAGGGTATTATGTTTAGTGAAATAAGTCAGACGGACTTCCCTGCTGGCACAGTGGTTAAGAATCCGCCTGCCAGTGCAGGGGACATGGGTTTGAGCCCTGGTCCGGGAAGATCCCAGATGCTGCGGAGCAACTAAACCCATGCGCCACAACTACTGAGCCTGCACTTTGGACCCCGCGAGCCACAACTACTGAGCCCACACGCCACAACTACTGAAGCCCATGCACCTAGAGTCCGTGCTCCCAACAAGAGAAGCCACCGCAATGAGAAACCTGCAAACCCCAATGAAGAGTAGCCCCCACTCGCTGCAACCAGAGAAAGCCCATGCGCAGCAACAAAGACCCAACACAGCCAAAAATAAAGAGAAAGACAAATACTCTATGTTATTACTTATATGTGGAGTCTAAAAAATGCAACTAGTGAATATAATAGAAAAGAAGCACTCACAGATATAGAGAACAAACTAGTGGTTCCAAGTGGGAGAGGGAAGTGTGGAGGGGCAAGATAGGGGTGGGGGATTAAGAGGTACAAACTACTATGTATAAAATAAATAAGCTACAACAATCTAGTGTGTAACACAGGGAATATAGCCAATATTTTATAATAATTATAAATGGAATATAACCTGTAAAATTGTGAATCACTGTGTTGTACATCTGAAACTTGTATAATTTTGTACCTTAATTGTACCTCAGTTTAAAAAAAGAATAAGCCTTCAAGGATTGTACAGCACAGGGAATATAGCCAATATTTTATAATTTTAAGTGGAGTATAATCTACTTAAAAATTTGAATCACTGTGTTGTACACCTGAAACTAGTAACTCAACTATACATCAATAATAATAATAAATTTAAAAGATGGCAAGTGACTATTCAACAAATAGTTTGAAGGCATTTGGCTGTCCACCTAAATTGTAAAATAACACCACCTCCAAATAAAATTATTCATGGGCTAAAAATAAACCCTCATGAGAGTTAAGCATAAAAAGAAAACTATAAAGTTATTTTTATAATTTGGCCCTCCTAAGCAATACACAAAATCCAGAAACAATAAAAGATTGATAATTTTAACCTTATTGAAAATTAAAATGGGGAGGGAAAAGGGAATGGGCAGGCTGGTGAAAAACAGTAATGTTTTCTACTCTGTGTTTTTTGAATCTTATACAATGAGAACTTACTGGGGACAACGTGGCTTACAAGACTAAAAAAAATGGAAAATTTTGTGAGTAGTTAACTTCGTGCCATGGCTTTTCATTCATCCATTGATCACCCAGTATTGAGCTCCTCTATGTGTACTTGGACTGTGTGGAGGTTAATAAAAGAGCCACCACCTAGGGCCCACTATCTGTGCAATGGTTGTCCAAGAAGGAAAAGCTCGCTCAGTTCAGCTTCCTGGCGTGGGTGGGATTTAATCTGACCCTTGCAAACTGGGGAGAAGATAAGGGTCTTCCAGGCTAGGGAGACTGAGGTCGGCAGCCCCACGTGCCCAGCTGCTTGCCACCAACGCTGGGCTGGGCCTCCTTGAAGTGGGTGAGTTTTGCACAGGCCTCCCCTGTGTCAGGAACAGTAGTGGAGGAAGTGGTGAGAGTGGGTCAGAGTCAGGTTTGGAGATTGGCACACCGAGCCTGAGAGAAGTTCAAAGGGTTGAGAGAATTATTGCTACCTGGGCTGGGAGCAGTGAAGTGACTGGAGGCCCTGCTTATCCAGCCTCTCAGGTGTGGATGGGGTGGTAGAGTTTACTTAAGAGGCCGACTGGCTAACACCACAGGATTAGAAGAGATGCTGAGTCAGGGGCATGGGTGCAGGGCAGGCCTCAGGGGACCACAGCCCTGAGGTGGGGCCACCTTTCAGTTCTCAACACACCCTGGACAGGAGTCCTCAACACAGACCCGTGGCTCTAAGCTTGAGCTCACCAAGCTACTCTCACTCCAGATGCAAGCTCAGCACAGGATGAGACAGGACACAAAGCCTTCTGATCACTTGTCACTGCTTACAGCAGCATGCTAGTCAATTTTCATTCTGTAAACGAACATACACAGGAAAGCAATTTACAGCAACACTTTGCGGGGAAAGATGGCTTGTGTCCGAGAGGTGGGAGTGGTAAGAAGAGGTCAGGTGGTCAGGATGGGAAGCCTTCAGAATTTCCTGATGGGCTGGAGATGCGTGAAGAGTCACAGGTGGCTATGCGCCTTTGGCCTTCGCAGCTAGAAACCAGTTGCCCTCAGCTGTGGGAAGGAAGGCTGCAGATGGGGCAGAGTTCCGTAGGCAAGCCACTGGTCAAGCTGTGCCTGCCCCTTAGGTAGCTCCCCTGCTGGTTCTCCTGCTTACAGGTCTTCCTCTTCCCAAGTTCCACCACTTCCCTACCCCTTAGCTGGGGGTGAGGGGGGTGTCAGAGCCTTCTTCCTAAGGAGGAATCAGGGGGGGCCCTCCCTCCCACGGGAAGGACATCTCAGGTCCCTCTGTGGCGTCTCTTCCCTTCCCCCTCCCGCCCTTCCCCAGAGCCTGCCCAGGGTTGGTACCCTAAGGCAGGGCTGGGAAGGGAACCTGAGCCACCAGCCTGCTCACACTAAAGCACAGCCTGGGGACAGGGAAAACCTTGTCACTGTCACTTTAAGTCTCCTGAGGGAGGGGGTCCTCGACCCTGGATTCACCACCCTGAGGAAGACAGAGAAGGAAGTGGGGCAGGTTTGCGGAGAGCACCAAGCAGCGCTCCTAGGGCCCGCTCACACGTAAAAACTTCCTGCGATGAGACCGGAAACACAGGTGCTGTCCCCACCACGGCAGCCCCCAGAGCCTGGGCCAGAGGGGAGCCATGGACAGGCCCCGGGCCCTGGGCCTGCTTTTGGCGCTGCTGACTCTCTGCATCACTGCTGGTGAGTGGGGGCCAGAGAGAGGCAGAGGCCATGGGGATGGGGCAGAGACCCAGGCCTGGGTCCTAGCTCCTGTGCCCATATCCCACAGGGACTCCTGAGGTGTGGGTGCAGGTTCAGATGGAGGCCACCGAGTCCCCGTCCTTCACTGTCCGCTGTGGATTCCTGGGATCTGGCTCTATCTCCCTGGTGACTATAAGCTACGGGGGCCCCGATGGTGCCGGAGGGACCACGCTGGCTGTGTTGCACCCAAAGTTCGGCACCCAGCGCTGGAACCCTGCCTGCCAGGCCCACTGGGAAACCAGAACCAGCATCTCCCTCACCTTGGAAGAGTCCGAGGGGAGAAGCTCCAGTCCCAACACCACCTTCTGCTGCAAGTTTACTTCCTTCCCCGAGGGCTCCCAGGAGGCCTGTGGGAACATCTCCCTCAGCCCAGACCAAGGTGGGGCTGATGAGGAGAGGGGGCCCTGGGAGGACAGGGAGGGACTTGGGGGTGCCAGGCACCTAACCGGTGTGTCTCTCTCTGTGCACAGGGCTCCCTGCTCCTACTCCAGCCACCATGCTGCGAGCTGACCTGGCTGGGATCTTGGGGGTTTCGGGGGTCCTTCTCTTTGGCTGCGTCTACCTCCTCTACCTCCTGCGTCGGCAAAGGCACTGGTGAGACCCAGCCCCTGCTGATCCAAATCCCCACGGCACTGGGCCAGCCACATGCTTTGCCTCTGACCCTCCTAACTCTCTCCCAGGTCTGTCATGAAGCTTCAGCCACCCAGCCACAGCAGCCCCCAGACACAGAGGAGAGCAAGTGTGAGGATCGGGGGATGGCTTTGGAGAGGGGAATGGAGGGGGCTGGAGGTGGGGAGCCATGAGGTGGAGCCTCACTTGAGCCTCCTTCCCCGTCTCCCCTGCAGGCAGCCGGCCAAGCCTCCCTGACCTCTCTCCACATCCCCTATGCCACCATCAACACCAGCTACTTCAGCCCGGCAACTCTGCACCGGGTCCTCCCACCCCAGCCCCTACCCAGGTGGGCGCCGCTCCCCAGCCAGAGCCCCGTCCCGTGGGCACCCCTGCTGGCCTCCACTCGCAGCAGCTTCATCTCTGTTGAGAACCGACTCTACGCTCAAGCAGAAAAGGGGCCTCTCCACGCTGGCACCGACCTCATCCCGCTCCCGGACTGTCTGGGGCGCAGAGCCATGGAGGGGCCTTAGGAGTTCAATGAGAGGGACCCCAAGTCCACTATGCCTTTCTCCTCTCCTGGGCCCCTGGAACCCCCTTCTGCTGGGTGTGTGTCCTGGTGGTCCACTGTCTTTGCACAGCTTGTTTTATTCTCGGGCTTCCAGTAAGTGTCTCCACACATACCCCTCCAGGGCCCACTTGCTGTGGATGTGGTCAGCACGAGTGCATGCGTGGGCGCACGTGTATGTATGTGAAGTGACAAAAACCCCATCCCGGGTCGTTTCCTGTTTTCAAGTCCCCAGCCCTCCCAGATGAGGTTGATAACTAAACCAACAAGAATGGTTTTTCTGGCCTGGGCTTTGGCTGGGCCTTTTTTTCTTTGGGGCGGGGGGTGGTTAAGATGTTAGAGGGGTTTCAACCCCCTGGGATGCAGGGGCCAGGTTAGACCCGGAGGGGGAGGGTGCCTCAGCGTGGGGATCTCTCCTCTGCCTGACAAGAGACAGGGGTGTTCCTGGCCCTGAAGACCTTGCTGAGGGATGCCAAGTGGGAAGACAGAATTGGGGGTCTGGTGGCCCCCAGACAGGATGGCCCATATTCAAATCCCACTATGTCCTAGGACAGCAGCAAGGGCTTCTGGAGCTTCAACCCAGAAAAGTCCCTGGGACAGGGGCTCCCTGAGATGGCCTGGGGGTGGGGCCCTGATGCCCTCCCTCCACAGAGTGGACATTCAGAGGCAGGGGACCCACCTCAGATCTGCCCACAGTGGCTTCCTCCGGCTCCTCTCCTGTTACTAGGGCACCAGGACTACTCCCCACTGGCCAGTCAGGGGGAGGCAGAGGCCCGCTCAGACACAGGGACTGAGCCCATGCTCCCCCGCCCACTCGTCTTTCCATCCGGGAGCAGCCCTCCTGTAAACAGGCCCAGCAGCCTGGGCCTCATCGCACCTTTGCCACATGAGACAACATGGTGAGAGAGCTCTGTAAGCTGCAAGGCTCCACAGAACGTGATGGATTCTGGTGACAGGGGGAGGCCTGGGCCTGGAACCAGGCTAAGGCAGCACCCAACCAGGATGAACACTGGGGGGTGAGGGGTGTTGGGGGAGACAGCTGTCGCTCAGCCCCTTCCTTGGTCCTGCATGTGGAAAGTCCCAGGCAGTGCCACCTGCTATCCCAGGAACCATTCCTTCTGCCTGGCTCAGGGAGGGCCTGCCCAGAGGCTATGTTCAACCACAGAATCTTCCAGAAACCCAGCTTACTATTGCAGGCATTGTTCAGACATGGTGCTCTCAGAACCCATCCCCATCAAGCCACCAGCTCTATACCACGCAGGAGAGAGGGTGAACCAGACAGGGTGAGGGGGTGGCTAAGGGTCATCAGGCCTGCCTTCCTCAGCCCGTGGGCATCGTCATCTTCTGAGGAGCCCTCAGCACTGGCCTGGGCAGCTCAGTAGTTCCTGCAGGGCTGGGGGTTCAAGGGAGAGAGGTGGGGCTGCAGAAGTCCCCGAGGAAGGTAAAGAGATGTAAGGGAGGGGGTAGCTCAGCGTCAGGCAGCCTTGGGACCACATCAAGACCAAGCACAGGGGTGTGTGGGCAACGGGGCTCAGGGGAGGCCTTGGAGGAAGCCTCACTTCCCTAGGAAGAGACTATTCATGGGATGGGGGGGCAGCTCTAGGGCTCCCAGGCCCTCAGCCTGGCCACTTGCCCATCAGAGCGTCAGGGGAGAGGCCCCATTCCATCCCCCGCCCCCCACCCCCAACCCCGGGCCTGAGCCCACCTTCCACAAGCTCAGGAGGCCACAGCCCAGCCTGGTCCTGCACTACATGAAACCAGAATCCTCGGGACCCAGGAAGTCTCCGCAGCTGGCCTGGCCCCCACTGCCCAGTCCCAAGTACCAGAACCAGCAGCAGTGAAGGGACCAGCTGAGAGAGCCAAGCTGTGGCCCTGCACCTGGAGGTGTGGCTGCACACGGCCCCCCAGAGCAGCATCCAGGCCCCCCCTCAGAACCCAGTCGTGGAGATCATGCTCTGCTGTTCCTTCATTCAACACATGGGGAAACTGAGGCCCAAGAGGGAGAGAACTGGCCCAAGGGGACAGGACTGAACCAGCCCCAGCAGCTCCACGAGGCCTCCAGGACACGCCCTCAGCCAGAATCCCTCAAAAGCCTTGTGCTCTGAGCTGACCGGGCTTGGAATCCCAGGGGCCACTCCCCCGCTGTGGGACCCCCAAGTGGTTTACTTAGTCTCTAAGAGACTCACTTTGCTCCTCACGTAAGGGGAGGTAAGGCCTGAGGGGAGTGTGGAGACTGTAAACCAGGACCAAGTACTAAGCAGCTTGGCACGAAGTATCTTATTCACTACTTTGAAAACACCTACCACTTCGGCGTGTTATAAGCCCATTTGACAGAGCCCAAGGTCACGCAGCTGGGAGGCAGAGATGTTTTTAGTGGGGAGGAGGGGAGGCGTGGCGCCACCAGCCCGCCCCCCACCCGCTCTAAAGGGTCCCACTGCAGCTGGCCCAGGAGCCCACCCCGGAGCCCGGGACCGAGCTCAACACTCCCCAGACCAGCCTCATGACCCTCCCTCCCCGTGACTCCCCCCAGCCTCAGTCAGCTGCTTCTCCCTCCCCACCCCACAGCGGGTCCAGCAGGGGGTCCCTGCGAACGCGCCCACCCCAGTCTTCTGGCCCTCTGCGGCCCCGGAGCCCTCCTTCTGCCGTCCAGCCCGCACCCACCCTCGGGCTCGCCCCCTGGCCCGACCCTGACACAGTCCCCACTCCCAGCCCACCGGAGCCCTCTGCCGCACCCGGGTCCCGCCGCCTGTCCCCGTGGCCTGAAGCTCCCCATCGGCGCCCCCGCCCGGCCTCCGCAGACCAGCGCCTGCTCCCACGGTAGCCCGCGACGGTCGGCTTTTCTAGGCTTAGGACTCTCGGCTGCCACTGCCCAGTCGTGATGCGCGCCCACACGGAGTGCGGGGCCCTAGGCATCACGATGACCACCCGCCGGGTGTGTGACCTCGGGTCGCCTGTGCGTCTGGGGAGCCTCACACCCTTGCTGGGTTGGCTGCAGAGGTGGGGCAACGTCACGGCCTCGCCCCCAGTCGGGGCGCCCACCAGCTGGGGCTGACCTTAATGGTGAACGGAGGCACCTGGGGCCTAGGGAGAAGAAATCGGTCCCAGGGGTGTCAGAGGGCTCCGCCAGCAGGACGCAGAAGGAAGGGCTGGGCAGGATGTGCTGGGGGCTGGAAGGGGCCAGAGTTGAGGGGCCAGGAGAGCCTCTTGCCTCCCTCGCCAGCACGGGGACACAAAAAGCACAGGACGCTAGGTCTGTTGGCCCAGCCATGGGCGGGAGCTCTCACCCTCAGGTTCCACTCAAACCCTGGTGGGGGTGGGGGAGCAGTGACACCTGGAATTTCCATAACTGGGCCCTCAAACAGCTTCATTTCAGCATCCATGAAGTGGGTCAGAAAGCTATTTGGATAAAAATAAATAAACAGACATTACAGACTTTAAAAGAAAAAGATCAGGGTGCTCTGAGGAGTAGTAGGCCTCTCTGAGATGACCTTTTTTTCCCCAATTTTTTTTATTGCAGCAAAATACACATAAAAATGGTTAAGGTGGTAAATTTTAAGGGACAAAAATTGAAATATAGTTGAGGAACAATATTATGGTAATTCCAGGTGTACTGCATAGTGATTAGACATTTGCATACATTATGAAATGATCACCATGATTAAGTCTAGTAACCATCTGTCTCCAAAGTTATTACAATATTATTGAACCTATTCCTTACGCCGTGTATTACATCCCATGACTTATTTTATAACTGTAGGTTTGTACCTCTTAATCCCCTTCACCTATTTTGCCCCCACCATCCCCTTCTGGTAATCACCCATTTGTTCTCTATCTATGAATCTGTTTTCTTTGTTTTTTTTAAGATTCCCCATATAAAGGGGATCATACAGTATTTGACTTTTTCTGACTTATTTCACTTAGCATAATACCATCTAGATCCACCCATTTTGTCACAAATAGAAATTTTGTTTTGAAATGGCTAATATTCCATTGTATATATACATATATATATATATATATATCATATCTTCCTTATCCATTCATCTTTTTTTTTTTTTTTTTTTGCGGTACGCGGGCCTCTCACTGTTGTGGACTCTCCCTTTGCGGAGCACAGGCTCCGGACGCGCAGGCTCAGCAGCCATGGCTCACGGGCCCAGCCGCTCCGCGGCATGTGGGATCCTCTCGGACCGGGGCACGAACCTGTGTCCCCTGCATCGCAGGCGGACTCTCAACCACTGCGCCACCAGGGAAGCCCTCCATTCATCTATTGATGAGCATTTAGGTTGCTTCCGGATCTTGGCTACTGTAAATAATGCTGCAGTGAACATTGGGGTGGGTATATTTTTTCAAATTAATGTTTTTATTTTCTTTGGGTAAATACCGAGAAGTAAAAAATTCCTATATCATATGGCAGTTTTTTAATTTTTTGAGGAACCTCCATAATGTTTCCACAGTGGCTGCACCGATTTACATTTCTACCAACAGTGCACAAGTGTTCCCTTTTCCCCACATCTTCAACACTTGTTATTTGTTGTCTTTTTGGTGACAGTCATTTGGACAGGCGTAAGGTGGTATCTCATCGTGGTTTTGATTTGCAAGATGGCATTTAAAATAAAACCTGAACATGAGTGGGAGTTCTCTAGGCAAAGATTGTGGGGAGACCATTCCAGGCAGGAAAAGATATGTACAAAGCCTCCAACGTTAAAAAGAGCTTGGTGTTGGCAAGGCCGAAGGAAGGTCATGGAACAAGTTGAGTGGGAGCAGTAGGCAACGCCCATAAACAGGGATTTGGGTTTTATTGTAAGGGTAGTAGTCACCCTTGTTGGGTTTTAAGCAGAGAAGTAAGATGATCAGATTTACATTATAAAAACATCAGTCTGGTTCTGGGTAGAGAACACTTGCATGAAAGAGAGGGAGCAAGAGTAGAAGTAAGAACAATTAGGGAGCTACTGCATAATCCAGGTGGGAGATGGGGTGTCTGAGTCAAGGATGGTAAAATGTAGATGGAAAGAAGCGGATGGATTCAAAATGTGTTTTGGAGGCAGAGTTGTTTCTGGCTGTGGGGAGATGGGATCAGGATGGTCTCAGTGGTGAAGCCCAGTTATCCAGCTTGAACAACTAAGTAGGGGGAGATGCCATTCACTGAGATGGAAGACTGACAGCAGCATGTTCCAAGGAAGGGGTGACAAGGGGCCAATAAAAGCTTAAGTTGAGATACCTGAGAACAAATGAGGTGCAGGCATGTCAGTGCCTCCTTAGAGCCCAGGCAGCACCCTAGAAAGGGACAGA